GCCAGGAGTGACCAGGAACAACGGGTCACAAGCTGGCAGAGGGTAGGTTTAGGTTAGATATCAGGAGGCACTATTTCATGGTCAGGGCAGCTAGGATCTGGAACCAACTTCCAGGAGAGGTGGTGCAGGCTCCCACCCTGGGGGTTTTTAAGGGGAGGCTGGATGAACACCTTGCTGGGGTCGTTTGACCCCAGTGCTCTTCGTGCCATGGCAGGGGGTCGGACTAGATGATCTGCTCAGGTCCCTTCCGACCCTAGAAACTATGAAACTATTTAAGTCTTCATTATCAACTGGAGAAGTCTGACCCTCTTCCCAGAGCCTCAGCCCATCTACCCATGGAGGTCTCCCCTTGTTCCTGACTGACATCTCTGTTTGAGTCCCACCTAGGTCTCAACCCCAGAGCCTTTAGCTCAACTAAGCCTAAGGATTAACCCCTGGGCTAGACATGCAGGCTCCCTGCCTTCATCAGCCCATCAGCTCCTAAGTCTTGGAGCAAGACTGCTTTACTCTGCTGTGGGCTCACCACCCTCTCCAGGGTCAGGCACTGTAGAGTCCAGCTCCTTGGCACTCTCTGACGCAGCTTCCTCATCTCCCCTTATAGCTTCACCCAGCACACCAGTTGTTACCAGTAAAAGGTTAACTTTTCCCCACTGGGCCATAAACAAAGCCCAGAACACAAAACTTCACCCACCTGGGCTCAAAAGAAAAAAACCCACCCATCTCCAGCAATTGAGATCTCCAGATCTACTCACCAGCTGTTCCAGGACCCTGCTTTCTTACTGCTGGGTGATCTCCCTCCTCTCTCCTCATTTGCTGCCTGGGACTAGTCTTTATACCTCCAGGCCCTTCCCCTTTGCTGCTCACCCCATGACCTGTCAGGCTAGCACAGGAGTCTCCCATTGCAGGCTGTAATAGGATTGGGTCCACAGCTGATTCCAGCTGCCTCTCCTTCCCTGGTTTTCACTCCTTCTGGCTTGGCAGGTCCTAGTCTCAAAGGGACCTCATCCTTCATCTCTGTTCCTCTGTCTCTTCCCAGTGACAGGAATTTAACCTCTGTGTTACACTGGGGTACTTATTATATAAGCCACTTATTATACAAAAGGTTATTTTATACAATGTGAGCAAGCACCGCCCTTGCTGCCACCTCTAGCCCTGCTCCAAAAGAGGGACCACTGCACTGCTCAGGTCTTGGGAAGGTTTGCAGGGGGAGCCCAGCTCTGCCTCCCACGCAGATGGAGATACCTGGTTGCAGCCCGCAGGCAGGCACTAAATAGTGGAGAGGAGTGGGGTGAAGCTGTCACATAGAGCCATTCCCAGTTTGCTGGCTCTAAGCACAACCCTGCTCAGCCTGCGGGTGTTCGGATCCCAGTTCTGCTGTGTGTTGTACGGAGAGCCTCAGTTCCTCGCTCTGGCACTGATTTGCAGCTATTTAAATCCTTTTTATAGGATCAAGCCGAAACTGGCCTCTGGAGCTTCCTCCCATCTTCAGATTTCTAGGAAATCTAAGACATTTTCATTTAAAAATGTCCATTTTCATTTAAATAATTCGGGTTTTTTTGGCAACCCCCATTGCAGCATTCTAATTTAAAAGCTGCAAAATTATTTCCACCTTCCCCCCCCACAAAGCCTCCCCCCCAAAATCTTTGGGATAAGGAAAAAAAAACCGCTGCTGACCCATATATTTTAATCTAGGACCTGTTTGCAGCATTCAAATGGAACAACGTGAAGAACTTGGTTTTAAATAATGTAATATACAGGAAGAAACGGCAGTGTTTCCCAACAGCCATGGGTCAGTTATGAATGATTCAGTTCCAGGAATCGCATCACTTTGGGCAAACACTAGAAATCATCTGTTGCTTCCATAAAGCTGAATGGAGACAGGTGTATCTACCACCAGAGTCCAACTACAGCATTGGGACCTATGTTTTTTAAAAATAGGTGTTCAAAAGATCCTCTTGAGAAGAGTAATATGTGTGTTTGGCATCTTCTAAGTCGACACCGGTATATTTGGACTGTTTAATGAAAGTTCACGGTGTTTCAATAGAAATAGTTTTATTAACAAAACATGCACATTATATATAGATATTTAAAATACATATACAATCTTTTTCTACTAGTCACTTTAGAAAACAATCTCATAAAAACCTTTAGTCGGGTCTCCAGTAATTTGAAACATTAAAAACATTTTTTGATTATAGAACAAGTATTACACTATCTAAGTGATGGATCATCACCATATATTTAACATTATGTAACGCAGGCTCATGCATTTCGATAGAAATATGATGTTTATTTTTGATGCTTTATTATTAATATCAAATATATGACAATATATTAACAGTGCCTGCACCAGCTCTTATATGCAAGTGATTCCCTGCTGAGATAGTATATATGGGCTCTGAATGAGAAAGACAACTTTTTTTGCAGATTTATAACTGGATTCACTTGGAAAGCGATGTGTGTACACCATGAAGTTGTGGGTAAAACAGAACTCAAAGATTCGGGGGGAAATAAAAAGGAAAAATTGGAATTTCATGAATTGTGAAGGATATCACTGGGAAAAAAACCAGGGAATCATTAAACCTTGGTTTGTGATTGTTCCAATCGGAAGTCTTGCTATTAGGTGACATTTAAAAGATGGGGTATTTTTCAAGGTACTCTCAAGTATTAAACTGAATCTTTGTAGAATACACAAAGTTAGCAATTATGTTGTGGTTACAGAATATTTACAGAGCATATACAAAGGTTTGTGTGACGATGGGACTTTAAGGCACAATATTCCATACACTCAGCTGACCACATTCATTGAAAACAAAAGGTCCATTGACAGGGCAGATATAGGAAGTCAAGAATTCAAGCAGCAGGTCAATAATCACTTTCACAGATAATGAGGCAATTCAGGAGGAGTTCCACTGTGGACATCAGCCCAGTCCTACATATACTTATGCACATGCTTAACTTTAAGAGCATGAGTAGTTCCATTGACTTAATGAGACAACACATGTGAGTAAACTTGAGCATATTTGAGGTGTGTACAGGATCAGCGCCATAGGATTTCCAAATGCAAGGTGTCTTATAGAAGCATGTAGGCTCCCTGTCATTTAACTGCATGCTCTGCCCCTGGAGGATGATAACTATATGAGCTTGATCCTACAAACACGACTAAGCGCAGTTTCATTGTGGTGCATGTACACGCCACGAGATTTGCCCTTTCAGGCGCTGTAATGAGACAACAGAGCAACACACAACACACCTGCTAGTAATTATTTTCAAGATCAATCCCTACGTATAACGGCCAATTAGGAAAAGCGGCACAAGGAAAACATAAAATAATTTACACATTCATTTTACCGACCCAAGCATGTTTCTATATAAAATACAAAACTGAGGTGCAAATTAGTACTTCACAAGCCAGTCGTGTTCAAGATGATCAAGTGACATTACCAAATTTGTCCCAGTCAGGCTCTAAATTCATATTCTCTCTGAGGTGTAACATGCTCTGCTGAAAAATTCTCCAAGATAACTGGTTGTGAAGAAAGGATTTTCTTTACACCCAGCAAAAACATAGCCTGCACGTGTATGGGTACATTGTAGCTCTAAAATCATCTAAGGACTCTTTTTTTTAATTACTACAGTCTAGCGAGGGGGGCTCACTCAACAAATGCCAGAAACTTTGTACGGAAGTTAAACTATATGTCCTGAAAGGTGTCATCAAACAAACATTACTTTATGTGTCTGTATTATAGTAGTAAATGGTGGCTTCGTAACTGAATATTGAATTATCACGAGATCAGCCGTGTTTAGGCTCCAGCCTGCAGGCCCGACCCAGTCCCTAGAGCCAAGTCATTTGGCTTCCCTATGGGTCTGGAAATTTGGCATCAGGGGAGCGGTGGCAACACTACTTGCTGCTCCTCTGCATTTCAGCAATATTATTTTCACTAAACTATTAAATTTTGGTTGAGGAAAAAAGGGGGAAAGGGACAAACCTTTGATGAAAATCCCATCTTGTGTCTGACCTGGGAAAACCAAACCTTTGATCTATGAAAATTTCAAGCAGTTAGTTACCTGAGACCCGTCCAGAATATTTTCCGTGCCAGCCTTTCAATAAGGTGCTTTCAGTGACAACATCTCATGAGGCATCATCTCAACTAAGTTTCTGACAGTTAACAAAGCAATCATTTCTCTCCTTAGACAAGGAAATGAGCTTTCAAAAGATAAACTTCAGCAACCATAATTGTCCTAACAAAGGTCAAAAGCTAAATCCAGCTTGATTAATTATCTGTGAAGTGTAATGAGTCTTGTCATTCAGAGCAGAATTATAGTGCACATATAATAAAGTGGGTGTCATCATCAATGACTGAGGAAAAGGTTACTTAGCATGCCGTACAGTAATTTGATCATTATGAATTCAACTGAAAATGGACACAAAGAAAAAAAGTGCATAAATGCCAGTACCTTAGAGCAGAAAATTACATATTTTGAAAAACCAGAAGGCTGTGATAATTTCCCATTGACACATACCAATATGAGGGAGTCCTCTAACGCCCCTGCCCAACCTCTCAGTGCATAGATGCTATGTGATGTACCAGAGATAAGAGAGCTCTCTGGCTCTGAGCGATGATGGCCCTTTTAACAGTGCTGCTCATACAACTCAGCCCACAAATTCGACAGCAGAAGTGCTTCACTCTCAGTTTTTGCCTGGAGTATTAAGGCTGTTATGCACATAAGATAACGGCAGTCCTCTCTCCAAATTAGCCTGGCCCTTTTTCAATTTCTCTTGTTCAGAGAGATGTGGCAGCTCTTACTGGCTGGCTTTTCAAAACACCTTGGTTTACATGTGACGAGCTGATGTTGCAAAGTTTGGACCAGTTTTTTGGCTGGCTAACTCCAGTGAAAGCCACGGGAGTGGGACCAACAGAAGGCCAAGGAGCTACCCTCCATGGAGCTATGCTGATTTTCACTGGATTTGGGATATAGTCTGCAAATAACAGGACTCCGCCTCAGAAGCAAATAGAGAAATTTGGCCTCCAAGAAAAATGAAGGTAGCTTCTGCCAGACTAAGAATTTGCAGTTACTAAGTTCACTTTAGAAACAGTAGTGTCCCCTTTCTGCATATCGACTAAGCTCTCACTATGCGAGTTAGCAAAACAATATTTCACAGAGCGGTAGGCTTTAAATTGGGGAATAATATATATATTTTAATTTAGGTCTTTGAGAAATGTGATTAAAACCTCTCAACGCTCCTAGCTCTTTTTCTCTTCCTGTTTCCAAAGCCAACAGAGGCATCTAGTGACCTGTCACCTTCTACTCACTTTGCTGCTTGCACGTTCAGCTCTTCCCTGCTTTTTACTGTACTGTCAATGCAGACCCAACAGCAGCCACTGCGTGTGCAATTTAGAAGAACAAGGCATCTTAGAGTAGGGTTACAGGAGGAGGCTTGGTTTTATACTAAGCACAGCTGTAGCAAGCATTTTTTAAAACAATTTGTTCATACTGTACAATGCTTCAAAAATGGCATCCGTCAAATTTGCATACGAAAAGGCTTTCAGACAAAATTGGGAGGTGTCAATACATCTCCAGCATGAGAGCGTCTTACGGTATCATCATCTGTGATCATAAGCCGCCATGCAAAGTTGGTTCTTTCACTGTAAGCCAATAGGTCACTGATTTCTATGGGCTTTGGATCAGGCACCATATTTGTTCAGCACGTCTATGTTGCACATCATTCTTGAATGAATGACGGATATATTGGTAATGGTGTCATTTACTGGCTCATTAATAACATTGTCTCGGGGCATAGTATATAATCCCTGCTTTTGACTCCATTTACTTTAGCATCATTTTCTCCTCTTCGGTATTTTTAGAACATCGTTTGAGCAGCTATAAAACTTCCTTGTACTAGTGATCGATTTGCTAAATGTCTCTCCATGAACGTGCTTGTGAGATTATATAGAGATAAAGGTAGTTCCAAAAAAACCCTAAAACCAGACTTCTCACTCGACCTCAAATGCTATTACAAATGTAGAGTAGGCTCACCTTGCATCAAAGACCTCTTAGGTTTTATTAACATCTGTCCACTATATTTATTTTCCAATGTAGGCTTCCCCCCCACCAAAAAATAAATATAAAAAAAATAAAATCATATAACCTTAAAAAAAAGGCAACTCAAACTATCTTGGCACTAACACTGATCACACCCCAAGCCGCATGGCCACATAGTGATGTCGCGCACAAATCATAGCTGAGTTGGAGGCAGACCACCAGAAGAAGGGGAGGCAGATCACATTTAGAAAACACTGACAACTTGGATGAGGAAAGCGTCTTTCGTCCGAGCGGCTGAGCTTTACTGTAAAATAGCAAACTCAGTGCCAACTGAGAAAGCAAGCAAGCAAATGCGAGCGCCATTTGGAGGATCAGTTATAACCCCCCCCAAGCCCTCACCAACCTCATTGCAGAGCTTCTTTAAGTAGCAGTTGAGTCACGTCACTCCTCTGCAAGATCTGAACTGAAAGGGCCTTTCCTTTGGCACCGATTCCTTCAAAGAAAAACCTCACCTCCTCACCCCTTCCCATAAATAGCTCTTCCCATCACTCCTCCCTGTCAGGCTCATCTGCCCCTTTCAGCTTTACCTTCCACCTGGGATGGCACCATTTAAATGCAAAGTGATTCAAATGTCTGTATCTACACACTGACAACTTAACCGGAGCTCCGTTTCTATAATACACGTTGCAGATAAGGTCTCTGCTTACAAAAACCTTTGCATTGCACCAGCTGCCTGCCTGCGTGTGAAGGGGCTTTATAATCAAGGGCTTCACACCGATCGCTGGAGAGTCTAACTCAAAGTGGCCTCCGTTCAGCTCTGCGTGCGTCCCATCTTTGATCACAAGCGTGTTTGCAATTAGTGCCTCATCTGAGCATGTTAATAAGCAGTTCACACATTCAGAAACAAAACATCAGTGGATCTAACAGCTACTTTAATTCATTTTATAAATAAGCAGTTGAGAATTTTGCTCCAAGTGGCTGCTTGTATAGCCCATTCCATAAATGGCGTTCTCTGGCGAATAAGGCACAATATGATATGAATGCAGCTCTTCATAATAGAGTGACGGAGAACAGCATTCCTGTACCATAAACTTCAGCCGTTTTCGTGCATCAGAGTAAGCCGTCCGACAGCAAGGTGCCTCCTTAAAGTATTCATAGCTCTCCCTCTCGGTCTCTAAGTGGATCTTCCTCAACAAATTGTTAATTAGCACAGACCTGCGCAGGTACGTTTCGGGATCCTCAAGGAATCGAAGCTTCTGCAGAGATAGTTTTAGGATGCAAGTCCGGTCCTCGGGTAATATCAGGTGCTGGGGAAGTGAAAACAAGCATTAGGGCTTTTGAACCGAGGAAGAGGAGCGAGCGAGCGGATTGCACTTTCCGAGCGAGGACAAAGACGACGGAAGAGAAGAAGCGTACTCACTTTTGGATAGTACTCATGGTAATCTTGATGTAAATGTTCTTCTTCTGCATATTTTCTCTTAAAGTAGGCTACTTTCGACGTTGTTAATGTATTTGTCACTACCCTGTCTGGAGCAGCTGTGCAAACCAGATAATAATAAAGAGTGTGAGCAACAATCGGACAAATCAACGTTTTCAATATTGTCAATGAAAAGATGCGCCTAGAATTTGGGGACGCTTCCTCTGGGACTCGACTGACAAATGATCAGGTTTACTCTCACCTAGAGGTGCTAGACAATTTGCAGACCTGCAAGGACACCACGGCCTCTTTCCCAAGGAGTTTACTCTCCAAATGTCAGATGTAAAGGTGGGCAAAAATCCGATCGCACTAAGAGCTAGTACAAATGGGCAGCGCCCTTAATTGATGCGGGCGGTGCTAGTGCAAGAAAAGCAGTGAGTTTGGACAGGGAGGTCTGCAGTTGTCTCCAGCTGCAGTTTGAAACTCGTGATTCGTTTTGCACAAGAGCACGTTCCCTCTCTTCCTGGCCTGTGAAGGGCTGGAGTGATTTCAGCGGAGAGCCATTACAAAGCCATGCGCTAGATGGTGCTGCTAGCACAGAAAACAAAGGGCTTGCAGAGTTGCGCTGTAGTGGCCACATTCGCCCATGCTTTCCCTTGGCGTCTTATTTCTAGGTGACTCAGATTTGCGCTGCATAGAAAGAATATTCCTGTTGGGGATTATGAATGAGCAGGGAAGTGGATCTAGGCCACAAAGCTTTGGGTGTGCGGATCCCCGCTTTGTTTCAGGGCACTGAGGACAGAAGAGCTGAGCGCAGGATGAGACCTGGCTCTGCTGCTGGGAGCTGGGCCCATCTCTACGTGTGGTCCAGTACTGCGCTAACCTCTAGTGCCTCGAAAGTAGGAGCTTATTAACACTTCCATCTCACCTGATCCTCTAGGGTGCAGGGGATCCCTGCGGGAGCACGGGCACGCTCCTTCACAGAGCGCACGCGCCCCCAGCGAGGAGAGGGGCACGGTGCCAGCTGCATACTCTTAGCTGTATATGACGAAAGCCTCGACCCCCAATCCATGGGGTGTCAATGGATGTTGTGCCATTGCCTTCGTGGCAGCAGGACTGGAGTCAAAATGTTTCAATGGACACAAGGACCAGAGTCACGGCCACGCCAGCACTGAACTTTACATATGGAGGTAGCAGAGGGATTTATGTCGTCTCCGTGCTTCCCCTGTGCTGACTGAAAGGGGGGCAGCCCTTCCTTGCCTGCAGGGGGCTGCTCTGGCAGCCAGGACTAGCTGAAGTGCAGGAAAACCCTTTGTGCCAGGTAGTCTTGGGGAAGGGCAGGGGTGGCACAGAGCTTTCTCTCATCGCGAGACTGCGAAGTACAAGCTCTAGCAGCCCCTTTGCACTGAACTAGGCAAATGAAAGAGGCACTATGGTGCTGTGATCGGTTCAGTGTTGGAAAAGTGTGGGCCTCTATTAAAAGGGCAATCAAGATACATGTGCGTCTGTGTGGGTGCAGGTTTGGGGACGGTGGGGGGAGTCTTTCTGCCTCAAAACACCGTGCTTCAGAGTACAGCTCCGTTTAAAATGCCCGTGGGGTCAGATCCTACTACCGCTGTTCCTGTTCTCCAGCTGAACTTCTCTGCCTCCGAGTCAGATTTCTGGGGGCATTTAAAATGCAGGCCAGCAGAACAAATTCAGGAATTGGTTGCTACCACCAAATTAGGGCCCAGAGGCATCACTCCTGAATCTGTGATCATGTCTCCCAAACTCTTGACACCCGGGGCACCCTTTTTTTTTCTGCACCAAGATTGGCAGCACGCTTTACTCTTACACCCAACAAGGTACCTATACTTGATCTAAGCCAAAAGGCTAAGACATTACACAGTGAGATATGCAAAACTTATGCAGTGGTGCCCAAACGTTTGGCCCCAGGAGCTGGATGAGCAGTACTGGGTTGGTCCATGGGCCAGTCTGTGGGCTTGATACCACTGCACAGGGCCAGCATGGCTAGGGCCCAATCCTGCCACGTGGAGCTTGGAAAAATTGGCGGGAGGGGAGCAGTCACAGTGCCACTGCTCCCCCCACGGCCAAATTTCTGGAGCCGTGGGGTGCCCTGCAGGCCAGATGGCACGGCTCTGTGGGCTGGATCTGCTACTGATAAAGCAGCATTTGATGCATCGCACTGCATGTCCCTTGGGAACCACTGCTGCAATTCATGGGCAGCCGGCATTGTCATTCCAAAACACGAACCTCAGGCTGCTACTAGGAAACAACACCGATTGCACCTGCTCCCTAAATGAGCACCGCTGATCCAAGTGGAAAGCCATCACCATTACTGCTATATGAAGTGTTAGGATCGCCGCTTCTTTAGGAGGGGAGAAGAATTGGCTCTTTTTCTCACCCATGGAAAATGGGAGAGCCGCAAAGGGAGAGACCTTAGTCAGATACAAGCCTCCCACGGGGGCTGGGTCCACCCGCTAGACCAGTTGTGTTCAGCATACAAGCACGGTGGAAAACAAGGAGATTGCTCCTGGACTGCGGCAGGTCATTTCAGCTTAAGCCAGAGGAGTCACGAGGCTGCTCTAACTCAAGCTCTGCAGCAATGGCTCCTTACACACCCTGCTGGACCCGGAGCCCAGCTGGACCGCACGACCTCCACCCACCTCATGTGCTGGTGGGACCATTTCAGCAGCTCTGCATTATGCAAAAAATACCCTTGCAGAGGGAGTGTTCCCAGACAGCGCTTTCTGCTCCGTTTTATGACCTTGTTAGGCTACCAGCATGGAGAATCAGCTCCACTCGCTTTACTAGTTTTCATTGTCTTCAGTGACTCTGATGGGAAGCAAACTGTATGCCAGGTAGGAGAAGATGCCCCATTCCTAGGCGTATACCCACCTGCACTGCTGCATCCCCTGCATCTGTAGCAGCAAATACCACTCTAAGCTTGGGCCACAGCTTTCATGTAATGAGCCTCGGCCAGGTCACCCTGAGAGCAGCAGTGCTGATGTATCGTACTTTAGACAGAGCGGCAAGACCGAGCACCCAGGAGATGGGCCTCATCTTGTATATTGGGGTCTTCAGTGTATAGCCCACCTCCACCCCCACTACTTATAACAGAAGCTGAGTATAATCTACCCTGCAGTTACTCTCCCAGCACCACTGCGCAGAGAGAGGCCCCGTACTTTGCAGGTGAGCATGCACAGAAAGACGAGATGACTTGGCCAAGGTCACACAAGCCGCCAGTGGCAGAACCAGAATCGAACCCAGGCCTCCCAAGCCACACCCTGCTGCTGTAACCACTGGCTAATCCTGCAAGGAAAGCCTGTGAACCACCTCCCAAATCCTTAGCCTCATCTACTGGCAGTGTGGAGCTGAGCGGTGAGAGGGAGAAGAAAGAGCAGAACCAAACTGTTTCCAGGGACTTCGGACACAGCTTTAGCAAGACGGTCCAGAGGGAGACAACCCTGACTGTGTGCAAGGAAGGCCTAAAAGTGAAGGTCCAGCAATAGGATGTTCTCTCTGGGACAGCACAGGTGGAAAAATCACAAAGGGAAATTGGTGCTTTGCCGCTTTGCCTGGTGCCCTATAGGGTCTTCACTGCCAGGAGCGCAGCCACGAACCAGTGCCATCCATCTGCTCCTCACTCACCGAGCGGAGACATCGTGACCACCTTGGAGCAGCCCTGAGTGCACTGTGTGTAACACCCCCTGGAGAGCAGGTCACTTTGGGCCTACGCCTGGAGAGACCCTGCAGGTGGAGCTGCACGAGCGCTTGGCTCCGTGCAAGGGGTGCGAATGCTATTACAGACTGGCGACTGATGCAGCAGCCAATGGGGGGCTGCCCTGCAGACCTGTGCCCTGGTGTCCGGGCATGAACTGCATTGCATTGCATTGCAGTCACGCTGCACAGAGCTTGGCTACGCAGGGATTTATTCAGCCAGAGCGAATCGCACCCTTGGGTGCTGCAACGGTCCATCTAGCAGACTGGTTTGGTAGCTAACTGGCACTAGAGTTCCTTCTCCCATTTCTGACTTGCAGAGGAAGCCACTGTCACTCCATCATGACGCTGCAGTGAACTTGGAGCACAGACTGAGGGCAATAAAGGGTTCCTTGTGGTTAAGTCCTAACAAACCTCACCACTTCAGGTGTCGTTTTAATGTTCTAATATTCCATCTAATGAATGACATGTTAATCCAGAGGCAAAATGGCCCAGATCCTGGTCTGCACTCAGGCACCAGATGTGGCACCAGAGTGGCTTGAAAGCAAGATGCTACCATGACCCTGGGACCTGTGAGTGCAATCTGCTTCCCAAGCACAACTGAGGAGCAGATTGCACACACAGGTC